AAAAAAAAAAAAAAAAAAAAAAAAAAAAGGAAGGAAAGAAAGAAAGAAAACTGGGCCACTGTGTGTCAGGAGTGTGGATCTCACAGCTGGTTAAGAAGCACAACTCCACAAAGCCAGTGGGGAATATAAAATAATGATGCAGCAGGGAGAGATTTGACTCAAACCACAGACTACTGCCTAGACTGGCTATTTAACACGTGCCGGTCTACTGGTTACTTTCTTTGGCATTGCACAGGTGGCAAACTAGTGGATTAAATCTGGTTCACCTGATGTATTTAAGTGATCAACATGTTATACTGCGAATCTCAGTTTCATTATAAAAATGCATAATTATGGAGAAAATCTTTTTGATGTGAACAGGGAGTAAAACAGCAAAGTGAGGCCAGTGAGCCTACGGACAGACTGGTACCATATCTCCTTTACTGGGGGATGAACTGCCCTATTTCTTGCTGGAACATCCCCTCCAAAGCCCAGCTAACAAAGGACTGTAATATCACGGTGTTGCCACTGCCCTGGCAGGGGCAACAGCATTCAACGCCACTCACACTCCAGACACAGAGGAAAGGCAATGCTGAAGAATACACCGACATCACCTTAACTCTGCCCCCTTGGAGTTGGGAATTCGCTGCATATGCTCACCTGCATTTACCCTGCTAGCAGCGTGGTATTGAATGGTGACTGGCAGAGGTTCACCAAGACAGGCTGGCAGAGCTCTGACTGCAGTATGAGGAGGCCTGGGGACTAGTCTGAGGACTGTGCAGAGCTGTAGTGGAGTCAGGAGGAGCTGGGTAGAAACCCCACCCTCCACACGTGACCAGTAGCATGGGCTGCACGTGTACCCGGAACGGCCACTACATCTCATCCGAGTGCCTGGTACGAGCGCACAGGGCTCTCCCCTTGCCCAGGAGATTGGCAGCAGCGAAGTGGGTTGGGAGAGGCCTGTTACTGTAAGGACGAACAAGTGGCAGTACAATGCTGTGCTAATTATATATTAAATTAAATCACCAGCAACAGCCGTGCTGCATCCAAATCCTCAGTGCAGGATAATCTGGGAAGGGGGAGACTTTTTAGAAAGGGAAGACGGGGGAGATGAACAAAAGGGCTCTACAGATCCATCTGTGGCACAGGAGGCTCAGATAGGTGTGAAGTGGTTCATTCATCTCTGTGAGATGTTCAGCAGCTGAATGAGGACACCCCATGGAGATGAATGCAGCCGGAAACAATCACTCTGAGATATATTAACTGCTCCATTCATCTCGGTGGCTGTTCTTATGCCTCCTCCCACCGCCACTGTTTGAGAGCCTGGGGTAGGCATCAAGCAGGCCTGCTCCTCCCCCAGCCTTAGCCCTGCTCGCCTCCAATGTGCCTGCTCTCCGCTCTGCACAGGGGGGCAGGTCTGCCCTAAAAAGCCAGCTCGCCAGGGGCACAGGGAGAGGCATTTTAAGATCCCTCCAGAGGGACAAGGCCTCAAGATGCTGGCTCACCTGGGCATGGGGACAGGGAGAGAGGCAGGAGGAGCAGGGCTCTTTGCACATGCATAAGAGAGCAGGAAGAGGAGCTCAGACAAACCCCAGGGGGGCACAGATGGTTGCTGGCTTGCAGGGGGGGCCGAAGAAGGACACAGCCCCCCAGCTCCTGACGTACACATCGGAGGGAAAAAAGATGAGCTGACAGACCCCTACCCATCTCTAAGCTTTCCTTCCCCTGCCCTTCAACCCGGTGCCCCACGCATCCCCCACCAGCCTTCTCGAGCTGAGGGGGCGAGGGGTTGTTCCCAGGGTCGAGCCCGGACAGATGAATAACTTACCTGGAGCCCAGAACGAAGCCTAGCGGGGATAAAGGATCCTTCATTTCATATTGTTCTTGGCACTGTGACTTTGGGTCTCGGCTCTGCTGGCGGGAAGTGGAGGGGGTCGATTGTTTGTAGTGATCTGTCAGGACAGCTGAGACAGAAGCTGGAGCCAATGGGACATGCTGCTGGGGAAACTGAGGGAGAAATCCTGTAGCTTTGTCTTTGGCCAAGAGGCGGCACATGGAGAATAGTGATCTGGCCATACTCTGACCTGTACATCAAAAGCAAACAGGGGATTCAGCCTTGTCTTTAGGTAACAGGCATTTTTTTTTTTTCTTTGCAGACTTTTCTCCCTAGAGAAAGTTCGCCCTTCCCAAAACTCACTGTAGCAACCCACACATACCACAGCCTTGTACAAGAGTCAGAATGCAGGAGCATTGTTCTGCACTTGGTTAAATCCTGTTCTCCTCCCCCCACACCCCCAAACCGTCCTAGTTAGCTTATCTGGAAAGAGATTAGGTGACCAGTAACTTCCCGTAAAACTGCGGCTACCATTACACTGCAAACAGTTGTAGGCATTTGTTTCTTGAAGGCAAAGTCAGGCTCGAAAAAGAAATGTTCATACCCCCCTCCCCCCGAACTACCAGCACCAATACTTCTTTTTCCCGGTTTTGTATTTTAAATGTAGTATAGATGATATTCAGGCAAAGACACAAGACCCTAGCTGATGGAAGGATGTAAATACAGAATTACTCCAGATCTGAAAGAATGGGAGGAACAGAATTGAGAGAGAGAGAGAGAGAGAGAGAGAGAGAGAGAGATGTTGTTCACACATTTATCAAGGTTTGTACTGGCTTGCAAAAAAACCCCAACACAAAATGAAAAGACCCACAAATAGACCCACTATCAACTCTGATCCGAAACGATTGGAGGAGGAAAGTAGCATCTCCCTGTCCTCGATTTCTCCACCAGCCGTG